GTTACCGGATTTCATTTTAGAATGAGTAAGTGTCTTGTAGGGAGATATTTTGAGACCATGCCAACAATCTGTTCTGTGTGATGCTTTTGCCGACTGTTAGCACTCATCGATGGTTCTCGCCTGACACAGTTGCAGTGGCGCCCGCCTAGTGGAATGTTCTGTTTCCATCATTCCTACGTTAGCAAGTGTAGACATTTATTAATTGGAATTCCAGAGCTGTCCCTTCTCTCTCACCTATTTATTCAATTCAGTAGGTTTTAATCCATTAATATCATTATTTATTTTGTTGCTTAACTCGTTCCAGCTTTGGCCATGGAGAGCTCCTTCAGATTCCCTGCCTTCGTACATTCACCAAGTCCCCATCGTTAAAAAAAAACGTTGCTCATATATAATTTACGTGCCATAAAATTTACCCTTTTAAAGTATAAAGTTTAGTCATTTTAGTACATTCACAAGATTGTGAAACCATCACAACTACCTAATTCCAGGATATTTTCATTGCCCAAAGGGAAATGCCGTATCCATTTGCAGTCACATTCCATCTCCCACTTCCTCTAGCCCCTGGCGACCACTAATTTACTTTCTGTTTTTATGGATTTGCCTGTTCTTGAAATTTCATAAAAATGATCTCATACAGTATGTGGCCCTTTGTGTCTGCTGCTTTCTCTGAGCAGAACGTTTTCAAGGTTCATCCATGTCGTAGCATGGATCAGTTGGTCATTCCTTTTTATGGTTGAATAATATTCCATTGTGTGGATACCCCATATTCTGTTTCTCTCTTCATCTTTCGATGGACATTGGGTTGTTTCCACTTTGGGGTCCTTGTGAATGATGCTACCATGAGCCATAACCAAATGCTACAGACTGTGTGGATTAAACGACAGAAGTCTGTCTGTGTCACCGTTCTGGAGTGCACACGTTCAAGATCGAGGTGCCGCCAGGGTCAGTTTTGGGTGAGACCTCTCCTCCTGGCTTCTAGGTGGCTGTCTTTGCACTGATTCCCACGTGGCCTCACTCTGTCTTGCATTTGACTTGTATTTCCCTAATGACTAAGGATGCTGAGCATCTTTTCATGTGCTTATTGGCCATTTATATATCTTCCTTGGAGAAACAGCTAATCTAGTTCTTTGCCTATTTTTTGATCGGGTTGTCTTTTGGAGGTTGAACTGTAAGAATTCTTGATATGTTTTGGATACTATACCCTTCTCAGATATATGATTTGTAAATATTGTCTTGCATTCTGTGGGCTGTCTGTTCACTCCCTTGATAGTGGCCATTGAGGCACAAATTCTGAATATTTTGATGAAGTCCAGTTTACCTATTTGTTCTTTTGTTGCTTTTGCTTTTGGTGTCGTATCTAAGAAACCATTGCCAAATCCAAGGTCGTGAAAATTTACCCCTATCTTCCCTTCTGTTTTATAGCTTTAGCAAGAACTTTAGGTCTTTGATCCATTTTCAGCTAATTTTTGCCCTTGCAATTCCATATGAATTTTAGGATCACCTTTTCCATTTCTGCAAAAAAGATGACTCAGACTGTGATAGGGGTTACATTGAATCTATGGGTCAATTTGGGGAGTCTTGCCATCTTAACAATATTAAGTTTCTTGATCCATGAACATGGATGCCTTCCCATTATAGCCATGTGCTGCGTAACGACATTTCAGTCAATGACGGACCAAATATACGATGGTGGTCCCATAAGATTAGTACCATACAGCCTAGGTGTGTAGTAGGTTGTGGGGGACTGGAATTGGCCACCCCAAGATATGTCTCTTTGGCATGAGGATTATTTTGGGCTGGATACTTTTAAAAACTGCAGACAGGAAAGAAACTCTGAAAAGTAGAATTGATTTACCCTTTGTTAAGAGACATTTACATTTGTAAAGGAAATCTCCATCTGTAAAGGTGTCTCCCTCTCTGTACCAGGAAGAAGGAGGGATGACCTTATCTCTAGAAACTCTTAATCACTGAGGAAGGCAAGGACTCAAATCTGCATAATAACCTTACCCTTGTTTACTGTCCTTTTTTGGTAACCTCCCATGATTGACTCCCCCCATCCCCAACATCCTCCTTTGTCTTTACCTTAGGGTGGTATTTAAGGTGAGAGCTTCTGCCATTTGGGGAGTTGCTCAGTTTTCCTGAGCCTCTCCCATGTATACATGTTGTAAAGCTTTGTTTAATCTTCTCCTGTTATGCTGTCTCATGTGAATTTAATCTGTTTTCTGGCCAGAAGGACCCAGAGTGTGTAGAGGAAATGTGTTCCTCCCCTACAAGGTTATACCATCTAGGTTTGTGTAAATGCACTCGAGGATGTTCTCACAATGATGAAGTTGCCTAACGATGCATCTTTCTCAGAATGTGTCCCTGTAGTTAAGTGAGGCATGACTACGTTTACATCTTAATTTCTTTCAGAAACGTTTTATAGTTTTCAGCGTACAAGTCTTGCATTTCCTTGATTAAATTTATTCCAAAGTATTTTATTCTTTTTGATGCTATTATAAATGGATTTTTCCCTTAATTTCCTTTTTGGATTGTTTATTGCTATTGTATAGAGTTCAATAAATATCCTTGAGATTGACTATATGTTATTTTTCTGCTTTTTCTCCCCAAGTCCCCCCAGTACATAATTGTATATTTTAGTTGTGGGTCCTGCTAGTTGTGGCCTGTGGGATGCCACCTCAGCATGGCCTGACGAGTGGTGCCATGTCCACACCCAGGATCCAAACCAGTGAAACCCTGGCCCACCGCAGCAGAGCACGTGAACTTAACCACTCGGCCATGGGGCCGATACCTGATCGACTGTATTGAAGACATTGTTTGTGTCTTCTATCTGCTTACTTATCTCTGGTCCTCTTCATCTGTCTTATATTGAGAGCAATATATTAAAATCTCCTATGATTCATGTATGTCTGTCTATATTTCCTTGCATCGTCTGTAGTTTTTATATCTTACAAGCGGTTGCTATGCTATTTGGTGCATAAATATTCATAAGTGTTACAGCTTTGCTGTAAATTCTGGTTTTTAGCATTTAAAAGTGCCCTTCTTTGTCATGTTTAGTGCCTGGCAGCTTGGATTATACATTGTCTGATATCAGGATCACTGCCTCTGCCCTGTCATTGTCTCCGTTTGCCTGGTATCCCTTTGTCCGGCCCTTCATCTTTAGCCTCTCTGAATCAGGTTCCTTTAGTGTTTCTCTTGTATATAGCAGAGAGTTGAGACTTGCCATTCGAGCCAAATTAAAAACTTTTTTCTTTAAATAGGTGAGTTATGCCCATTTATGTTTATCAATACAATTGATATGGTTGGTCTCAACTCTCTATCATAATATTTTGTAATTATGTGTATTTTGCTATATTTCTCTATGAGCTGTGTATTCTTTGATATTTAATTTACAAAATAAATTGGTATTTAGGAAGGTTTGTATTTTGTTCTTGTCTTTACCTGTGTACTTATACCTTTTAAAAAACACTCTCAGTTTCAAAACTCTGTCTGGCTTATCCCTTTGTACTGGTACCTTTAACCCCCAGCTGCTGCCTCGTGTATCAGTGAGGGTCCAATCAGGGCAGAAACCACACAGTAACCTGAGTGGAAGTTTAACGTAAAGAACTATTAACAGGGGACTGAAGTCCTTGGCCAGTAAGAGGCAAAAGAACTGCACAGAATAGAGGAAAAACCGATTGTAAGGAGCAGCCCCCATCCCTGGGGCTGAGACGGAGCACCCCAGGGAGAGCACGCCCCGTCCCACCTGCAGGTCTGAGCTCCAGACCTGGTGGACAGAGCATGCCTGTGGCTCCCAGGGTCGCAGAGAAGTCACTGCAGTGCTGTGAACATGCTGGAAAGCCATCCTCTAGGGGCCAGGGAAAGCCGATCATGGGGAGTTGTCTCACTGGAGACACTCGGCTGCAACCCTGACCACGGCAGGTGCTGGGGGAAGCTGCTGACCGATGGGTGCTGCTGGCCACTGTGGGCTGCCATGTGTGGCAGGAGCTTGGTGCTGAAGAGGCCACGAGCCCTGCAGTAGCTTGATGCTGGAGGAGCCTTGGGTACCAGAGAAGCTTCTGGAGATTGTCTAGTGAGCATATCAGATGCAGGAAAGGGGGTTGGCCCCATGGCCAAGTGGTTAAGTTCGCATGCTCCGCTTCGGCGGCCCAAGGTTTTGCCGGTTCGGATCCTGGTCGCAGACATGGCACCGCTCATCAGGCCACGCTGAGGTGGCATCCCACATAGCACAACCAGAAAGGCCTACAACTAGAATGCACAACTATGTACTGGGGGCTTTGGGGAGAAGAAGAAAAAAGATTGGCAACAGATGTTAGCTCAGGTGCCAATCTTTAAGGAAAAAAAAAAGAGGAAGGAAAACTTCCTTTTGCAATGGCTCCTCTGCGCCCTCTACCGGCAAAGCTTAACAATGAGCCAGGGACAGGCCCTGTGGCCAAGCGCTTAAGTTCGCACGCTCTGCTTCGGTGGCCCAGGGTTTCACAGCTTCGATCCTGGGAGCAGACCTAGCACTGCTCATCAAGCCATGCTGAGGTGGCGTCCCACATAACAGAACTAGAAGGACCTACAACTAGAATATACAACTATGTACTGGGGGGCTCTGGGGAGGAGAAGAAGAAAAAGAAAAAAGATTGACAACGGATGATAGCTCAGGGCCAATCTTAAAAAAAAAAAAAAAGAGGCCAACTGAGCCCAAATTTGGTCTCCACCATCTACAAAAACAAACAAACAAAAAACCAAAACCAACAATGAGCCAGCTAGCAAAGAAAGATATTTAAAGGGCCCAGATCCATTTTTATGGAGCAGGCAATGAAGAGTGAATTTGGACCTGAGAGGCCCCTATACTGCCTTCAGTGAAATTATCCTATTTTCCTCATTTTCTCTCCCTTCTTGTCTCATGCTTTGAGTTCCATTATTTTTACTTTATCACGATATATGACATTTTTACTTAGTTATTTACCCTCATGCCCACCTTGATTTAGCCTCAGATCCTACATACATACCTGTCGTGTCTTGGTTGAAGTGCATTCTCGTTCAGATTGGCACACAGGTGCAGAATTCCATCGGTACTTGTTGAAAGGCAGACAACTCTTCCCTGTAGCCTTGACGCTTGGACAGCTTGTTTGAATATACAATCCTTGGTTCGAGCTTTCAAGAGTAGAATGTTTCCAAAATGCTGCTCCCTTGTTGTCTTGCTTTGTATGTTCATTTTTTAAAGCCTGATGCCATCCTAATTCTTTTGCCTTTGTAAGTTATTTGATCCTTCTGCCTGGAGATCTTGAGGATTTAAAAAAAGAGAAAAATCTTTGAAACCCAAGAGTTTTGCAAGAATATGTCTAAAAGTGGATTGTTCTGGGTTAATTTTCCAAGGTTCCCAGAGGGCCCTTTCAAAGTGCAGATTTATGGACAGTTTTCTTGGATTATAATATTAAATATCAGTTCTGGTTCATTGTTTAGGTTTTTGTCAGAACTCCAATAATACACATCTGATTCCTTCTCTATCTTGGTTCTATTACTTTCTTCTGACCCTTCTCCTTCTTTATCTCATTTTCACTCTCTTGATTGATATTCTTTCTTTCTTCAAGGCCCCTTATTAAATTTTTATTTGAGTCTGTTCTCCCTTGGGTGTCTTGTAATTTAATCTTTTTTTTTTTTTTGAGGAAGATTAGCTCTGAGCTAACTGCTGCCAATCCTCCTCTTTTTGCTGAGGAAGACTGGCCCTGAGCTAACATCCATGCCCATCTTCCTCTACTTTACATGTGGGACGCCTACCACAGCATGGCTTGCCAAGCGGTGCTGTGTCAGCACCTGGGATCCGAACCAGCGAACCCCGGGCTGCCGAAGCGGAACGTGCACACTTAACCGCTGTGCCACTGGGCCGGCGCCTTAATCTTTATTTCTAGATAATTTTGTCTGCTTCTTCCATTTCTACCCTGAGTTCAATCAATTCTCTTTTCATTTCTTCCTAGGTTTTGTCTCTTTCTGTTCTTTGTTTTTAAGTTTCTCGCCCAAGGTCGTCTCACGCATCTTCAGATGCTAGTTTTGAGCATATTTAGTTCTGTTCAGCGTGTCGTAGCACAGCTTTCTCCTGCTTCGCGGCTGTTTTTTCAGGGGTGCGTGTGAATTTTCCTTGGTTGGTATGGATGAAGTTCATTTTCTGATATTTTGCAATCACTCCGTATGAACCTGGGAGCCTTTTTCTTGTTCGTTTTTGTGGTGTTGGGTGTTTCATAGATCTCTGGCTTAATGTTCCCTCTTCTGTCAACGATGCGAAGTCCAGACACTTTCCTGGATGTGTCAGCTTGTTTGTTTGTTTGTTTAGAGAGCGGGGAGGAGCCCAGTCCTCTGATTTTGTTCTCTGACCTGCAGAACCATGAGTTTCTCCTCTGCTTCCCCTTTCACACTCTGATGCCAAAAGGCACTTCCCTTCCTTTTTGCCCCCAATCTATGTGTTTCAAAGCTGTCCCTTCCCTGTAGTCCGAGCTCTAACCTGCCCCAGACTCTCATTCTCAGACTTAGGGAGGTCTTGCTGGCACGGTCTTAGATCAAGCATGGGCCCCACTGCTAACTCCACTCTCCCTTTCTCCCCGCGGTTTTTCTCAGCTCGTCTTTGCTTGCCCCGAGCCCATGCGGTGTGGGGCCGCGACCAGGACTGTGGCTCTCATTTGCTGTTTGTTTGTTTCTACTCACAGTTATTTTTAACTCTGAGCATTCTCCATCCTCAAGTTATACCGAGGGCTTGGTTTTCGTAATCTTTCTCTTCTCTTTGTCCTATGTTGTTTTTCAAGGGGAGCCGGGGACCTACGCTGCGGCCCCGGTCTTCCTGGAAATCTCTCACAAAACATTTGCTCCCCATCCCTCCAAAGCTTTGGGCTTTGCTGGCTTCGAATCCTCAGTTCCCAAGAGAGAATGCTCCCACTAATGGACGCAGCAGTGGTTCTTTTGAACTGGAAGTGAAGTTTCCAGTTCCTTTGTCATTTTGTCCTCTTCATGCCTCAGAACCAACAGCTCTAAAAGGTGGATGATCCTGATTATCAAGGAAGAAATTGTTGCTGCCACACATCGGAGGGACGGGGGAGGGTGGTACCCAGGAGATTCCCGGGGACACAGGACTGGCAGGTCCGGGGATAACGTTCATCAAAGACTGGACTCCATCAGGCAGAATTCCCATGGACTCCGATGCTTCAGGAATGAAGGTCACCTCATGGGGCAAAGGTTCCTGAGGGCATAAGGAACATAAGAGAGGTAGTGGAAAAAGTAAGTTATAAATGCCACTCTAGGGTTGACAGATAAAATTCAGGATGCCCAGTTTTATCTGAATTTCAGAGAAACAACTAATTTTTTCTTAGTGTAAGTATGTCCTAATGTTTGGGACATACTTAAACTACAAAATTATTTGTTCTTTCTCTGAAGTGCAAATGTAACGGGGCATCCTCTACACTATTTTTATTTGCTAAAGCTGGAGGCTCTAATTATGGCCTTGTAATTCATTGCACAATCATTTCTTCCTTGAGAGTAAAGGACAGATTAACCAATATCCTTCCCCACGTCTTCCTCTTGTTTCGTACAACGTGTTCTTGATGACTGACTTTGCACTCCCCTGCATTTGCTGTGGGATATCACGGTGAGATAAACTGTTCCGCATGTCCCATCGACGTGCGCTTCCACGCCTGCCACGGGGGCGGGGATGGCTTCACACTGGCCATCAGATGTTTTGCCTTAGAACTGACATTCTCCGCACTTCCTGAGCCAAAGCCGGTCTCACGGCCAGGCCTAGCCTCGAGAAAGTGGGGAAGGGTACAAGCGTGCCTGGAAGTGGAGAGCCAGGACTGGTGAACACTGGTAACATCCACACAGGTGGACAGGGGCTGATGGGACTTTGGGCGTCCCGTTTTGGTTGCAGGAGGGGTGGTTAGGCGGGCACCTGTTGTTGCTGCTATGATCTTTGAGAAGGTAAAGTATGAGCAGAAGTATGTGGATATGGAGGATGCAAAGAGGTGGACGGTGGTGTCCATGCCTACCTCCTGGCATGCCTTCCTGAGCATACCGAGGATGCAAAGCTAAAACTTTAATTACTCTGACATCACTTAGTCACATTATGCGTGTGCATGCCCTACAATTCAGCAATTCTGCCCCTGATACGCATCCCAGGGAGATTGTCACATAAGTCCATAAGGACAGAGAAGAATGTCCACAGCGGCAAACTTGTGGTGGGTGGGGGGAGCTGGAGGTCATCTGGTACCCAGCACTGGGGGAGTGGGTGGGTAAAACGGGATGGATGTGTGAATGGTGAGACAGACAGACAAAAGGATAGCAAGTGAGTCCTTCCATGGGCCAATTATCTTCATCTTAGTCAAAGGATTACCACCACCTTCTGCCTCTGAGGTCAGAAAGAAAACAAGTACGTCTTCTGGCCTCCCTTGCCACTAGAGGTCTGCGTGAGAAATACATCCCACTGATAAGATGCCTCTGCACGATGTGGACGGAGAGGAGGCCGTTTGCTGGCTGTGGAAGGTTCGGTTATTCTGCAACGGTGTCAGCTCTCTGGCTTTGGTGTCAAGAGGCAGTGGTGGCAGCCCCACCCCATGTGCCAGGGTCGGGGCCCAGCTTCTGGGTACTGAGAAGAGCTGCACTGCAGGCAGGGCAGCACGTTCTGGAACTCAGCAGTTCCCGCGGTGGCCTCCTGGAGGCTCCCTTCTCCAGCCTTCCCCGTGAGTTTGTAAGTACCTGTCTTACATCCCTTTCTGCTGAAAAGAGCTGGAGAAGTTTCTGTTTCCTGGAACCAAACCCTTCCTGATTGGCAATGGCCTGCCCAGCTCACACAGCAAGTCACTGCCGGACCTGAGCTTGGGACCGAGCTCCCAACCTGCCCTGTAACAGCCTGCCTTGTCCCGGGCCCGTCTCTCCTCCCCTAGCCCGCCGCACTTAGGAGGGGCAAGTCTGGCCCATCGGAACCTGTGGGCTGGGAGCCCAAGAGGCAGGGCCGCTGGAGAGGCCCTCCCCAGAACAGCAGGACCCGAGCCTCCGGTCCTTCTCCACCCAGCACTGCTGACCGCTGCTCCTCCAGCCTCCCGGGGGCTGGCCCAGGGCAGAGAGGGCTGGGGACTCTGTGCCTTGCAGCCCGTGCAGAGCTCTGCTTGACGGTGTGGTAATGGAAACCTGCTCCAGGGTGACAAAACCCGATTGCCAACTAGCTAGATGACCGCAGGAAAATCACTCAAACCCTCTGGCCCAGATTTCCTCATCCATGGGGCCCTGCCCAGCTGCTGCAAGGATGAAACAAGGCAGCGTCCGTGGAAAACACCGCCTCGGTGACTGGCAGCAGAGTTGGCCTCAATACGCTGGAAGCCTAAGTAACTCACATATTTGGAAAAAGAACTGAGAGAACTAGTTCTTCGGACCTGGGAAGATTCCTAGGTCCACAGGCGGGGCTCCTGAGGGGCTGGGGTGAGGAAAGGCCAGCTCAGTTTTAGCCCAGATCACGTGGCCCTCTGAGCCCTGAAACATACCAGCCAGCCCTTCCTAGAGGCTCCAGTCACGACGGCCCGGGGCCTCCCTCTCCAAGGAAGGGGCCGCTGGCAGCTGCAGCCTCCTCTCACTGTTTCTGGTCATCCTTCCGTGGTCCCATTTGGCCTGAGCCCCCTGGGGCAGCCCCTGCAAACCTCGGGAATTGAAAAGCGCTGGCCCACAGGTCAGGAGGCCCCAGTCCAGCTCCAGGCTCGTTCCCAAATTGCTGAGTGGCTTTGGGCAGGCCAGACCCTCTCTGGGAAGAAGAGATGACCATGTTTTTTCTTCTGCCTCCTGGGCAGGGACTCTGGAGAATTCTATTTGTGCAGGAAGGAACTTCAGAGACCTGCTCTCTGGCAGTTCCTCATCTAGAAACTTTCTTGGGACCTCTGACCCCCACCCCAGTGGTTCTGCCCCCAACCAAAAGAAAACCAACCAGCAAAAGACGGTGAATGTACATTTTTTTAGAAAGGAGCCACAGGATCATGTCCTGGTCCTCAACAAGCCCTTCTAGACAAGGCCCTACGAGGGCCACAGTCCTGCCCCCGCCTGGCACGGCCCTGGGGCTCAGGCAGCAGCCGACAGCCCACGGAGGTAGTCCCCTGCCAAGGGCAACACAGCCCAGTCATCGGTCCGCAGGGCCACAGGCACTCCATCGGCCTGGGCTGCCTCCAGGCGCAGCAGCAGCCTCGAGTCTGGGGGCAGGCGGATGGCTATGTGGTAGCTACTGGGGGGCTGGGCCACCATCACAAAGGGCTCCAGGTGGCGGGACACTAAGGCCTCCAGCCCCTCTGGCCCAAGAGGGCACCACAGGCGACTCTCGGTGCCCTTTGGCAGGCAGGAGTCCCAGAGCTCCTCAAAGAAGCCCAGTTCTGTCCCTTCAGGGGGCTGCGGGAAAGGCAGAAAGAGGTCAGCGAAGGTCACGGGCAGGGGCGGCAGGTGGGCATGGCACGTGAGGCCAGTGAGTGTGGTGTACAGGGCTCGCACATCCAGCCTCGTGGGGGCTGGGCGGCGGGGTTGCAGGGGCAGGAGTAAAGGGCGGGCGGGGCGGGCGGGGCACAGGCAGGGCACGTGGACAGCCCCCAGCGGCGCGTAGAGCTGTCCTTCCACGCGGAAGCGCAGCTCCAAAGAGTACACCGGCTCCAGCACCTCCACCTGGAGCTGGA